GTGATACCCCTCTCTGCCTCCATACAGTGCCGAGGATCTGGGGACTGGTGGTGGACTGGAGATGGCCGTGATGACAGGATTGGGCTCAGTTTGCTCCTAGACGGTGCCGGGGGTGCCTGGTACCAGGAAGGAGTTTGATGCTTCCTGATCCTTCCTGCTCCTAGTCATCGGAGCCAGCAGCTATCCCATTGGAGTCAGGGAGACCAGGAATGATAGTAAATCCCCATGCATCTGACGAAGTGGGTATTCACCCATGAAAGTTTATGCTCCAATACATCTGTTAGTCTTAAAGGTGCCACAGAACTCTCTGTGGCTTTTTACAGATCCAGACTAACACGGCTACCCCTCTGATAGTAAATCCCTGGCCACTGCAAAGGCCTCCAGGGTCGATGGAACAGTCAGACCGCTGGTACCATGGTGGCTTCTGGGTGTTGGCGGAGGGTCCTGCACCAGACTCAACACTCTGGGCAGAGTTGATAGTGCCACCATGGGATCAGGGGTGGAGGAGTGGCCCAGCATAGGTCGCACTGTGCTGCCTTCCCCAGGCTTGTCCTTTTTCTGCACCATCGAGCGCTCTCTGTCAGTGTGCTGCTTTTTGTGCTTCTCCTTGACACTGGAGATGGTGAATAGTGCCAGGAAAAGCGTGGTGCCAGAAGAGGGCTTCATATCGAAGCCAAAGTGCTTGGTGCACAATTGGAGCGACTTGGCTCTGAGGCTGGTCTGAGAGCGGCTTCCATTAGGATAGCCTTCAGCCTTATTTCTCTGTCCTTTTTGGTGTAGGGTCTAAAGTCCCAACAAATCTGGCACTTGACCCTCACATGAGTTTCCCCCAAGCACTTCAAGCAGCTGGAGTGCAGGTCACTCATGGGCATACATTTTCCACAGGAGGCACAAGGTTTGAAGCCAGGGACGGGGCATGCCGGGCCTCTCGGGCGAAGGCAGTCCCTCGACGATAGGGACTATCTATCTACGCTGACTATTTACACTAACACTAATTACAAAATCTATGTACACTAAAAATTATTTATAATGGGAGTAATACTGTGCTACCTCCTAGGAGTGTTCCGAAGATAAAATATTACAATGATAAGCAACATAAAATATCCCATGAGGAACCTGATTTTTGTGTTCAGTGCAAGGTTTGGATGGTGTGCAGTAAATAAGGCTTAAGACTAGACACTGAATGATGAGCATACAAAGAAATATTGAATAATGACCCTTTCAGTGAGGAACATCCAACCTGTGCACTGAATGAGGGGTTCTGTGATAGCATGTAATCATGTAATTAAAAACTACATCATATAATGCACAGAGACAAGAGGGGTGTGATGGGGTCCCCAGGGTGCAACCTGGACTGTGGAACTACTGAGCCCTCCAAAACCAACCCGCCTGAGTATTCCTCACCCAGCGATGCTGATGTCAAGCTACAAACCTCTGATAGGCACTGCACTTACACAGACATCCACAGGCAGGGACACTCTCAACAGTGTTACATGAATGATCTCCCAGCCACTCGTGAACCATCAATAGGGAGGCTCCAGCCAATTCCCCCCCCCCCAGCTCCCTCGTCTTGCACCCCAGAACTGTACCATCTTGCTGTACCACCGGTCAGAAGCTGGGCCAGTGTCAGTTCATTACCTAGTTCGCCACTCCAACAGAAAGGTAGTGGACGTGCAACAGCTCTTGTTAACCTGAGCTGAGATTTCCCAAGCTCTTCAAACAAAACACACTGTTTTAGGTAAAATATAAAACAGATTTATTAACTACAGAAAGACAGATGTTAAGTGATTATAGGTGGTAGGCATAAAGGTCAGAGATAGTTACCTTAAGAAAATAAAAAGTAAAGATGCTTTCTAAATCCTAAGCTTTTAGTCTGAGCAAGAGTTGAATCAAACAGCTTTTCTCACCCTGACAGATGGTAGAAGCAGGTTACAGTTCCTCAATACACAGACTGGACCCTTTTCCAGCCTGGGACCAAACTCCCTCAGTTCAAAGTCTTTGTCCTTCAGGTGTTGAGCTGGGGGAGAGGGGAAGGGAGGAGAGGCCAAGTGATGATGTCACTTCCCCTCTTTTATACTTTGTTCCAACTTGTTGGAAAGATCTTTGATGTGATGTGGGGATCAGGCCGTCCCCACTGGTCTGATCCTTCCTTGGATCTTTCCTTTTCCCACTGCTTCCCCTCTTCCAGAGCCTCTCACTGCTCCATGCGCTGCCCCCAGCCCTGAGCTCCCTCCCGCACCCAAACTCCCTCCCTGGAGCCTGCACCCCACACCCCCTTCTGCACCCCAACCCCCTACCCCAGCCCTGATCCCTCTCCCACTCTCTGAACCCCTTGGCCCCAGACCGGAGCCCCCTCATTCCCCCAAGCCCTTCATTCCCAGCCCCACCCCAGAGCCCACACCCCCAGCTGGAGCCCTCACCTGCTCCCACACCCCAACCCCCTGTCCCAGCCCAGAGCCCCCTCCTGCACCCTGAACCCCTCATTTCTGGCCCCATCCCAGAGCCAGCACCTCCAGCCAGAGCCCTCACCCCCTCCCGCACCCTAGCCCTCTTCCCCAGCCCAGTGAAAATCAATCAGGGTGGGGGACAGCAAGCGACAGAGGAAGGGGGGTGGGGCCTCAGAAAAGGGGCGGAGCAGGGGGAGGGGAAAGGGTGTTCGATTTTGTGCCATTAGAAAGTTGGCAACCCTACCTTGAACCCTGGTCTCTCATGTGAGTGGCCGAACCACTGGGCTATTCTGGAGCAGGTCTCTCTCAATGTCTCTTGTTGAAGCTGTTCCACTTTGTATAAAAACACTTACATAGGCACTGGGCTAGAGATACAATGATTAGTCTATAGTCTAGTGGCTAGCAGGCTCTCCTGGGAGACCTAGGTTCCAGTTCCTGCTTCAATTAATATTTAAGTGTTTTATACAAAGTAGAACAGTTTCAGCAGGAGAGACAGGGCTCCACTTGAGAATATTCATAGCCCAGCAGTTAGGGCATCTCACCTGTGAGGTAGGAGACCTGGGTTCAAGTCCCTGCTCAAGTCAGGCAGAGTAGGTATTTGAAATGGGACCTTGCACATTGCAGGTGAGTGCTCTAACCCCTGGGCTAGCGATTGGGTAGAAGGGAAGCATAGGCACCTCTCTCCACTCAACATGTGTAGGGCCTGATCTGGTAATTATACTCTAAGGGGGCCTCTGAAAATGCCATTAGATTGGGCACCGCAGGCGAGATAGGTGGGAGAATGCCCAGGTTGAGGATCCCACTGGCTTAGGCATGAGGTAGGTGCTACAAAGTTGAATGGCCTCAGGACTTAGGTGATGGTATATATGTACACCAGCAGAAATTCAGGTGCCTGGGGGACTTTACCAGTGGAAACAGGTGCCTACAGGGTTAGGCAAAAACTAAGCAGGGGTTCTGAGGATCTAAATTTTGGACTTAGGTCCTTAAATCCCTTTGTGGATCTAGCCCTGTGTGTCTAAGGTTAGCCACTCAGAAATCAAAGCACCCCAAATTAGAGGCCAATTCTGAAAATACAGGTCTTAATTTTGCTGTTTCTTTCTGTCTCCATCTATAAAATGGGGAAATATTTTCCCAATTACCAACAGTATTGTGGGAATTAATTAGCTAATATTTGTAGGTTGCTTTGAATACATATGTGAAAAACTTTGCACAACAACTCCGACCATGCAATCAGACTCTGCCCCCCACTTACAATGAAAATATTATCAAATATTACCATTACTACTTCTACAAGGTATTAATTGAAATATTCTGTATATTAACCTTCAAAACAATAAGGAAGGAAATTTCTTTCATTACTCAGTCTTCTGAGTTCCCTTTTTCTTCCAAAAAAGACCCAATGAAAACAGCCTAGTAGTACAAACACTCATTGCCTCAACTCTTCTGTTTTCATCAAAAGATTTAAACTCAGCAATGTAATTTTCACAGTGTTCTGTGATTACAACACAGACAAATGCTGAACACTAAACCCTGTCAGAGCTCAAAGCCATCGCAGGAGACTACTCAGCAGCAGAACATCATAGACTGCTACCCTCTAGGGAAGGCCACGCAAATGAATTCCAATCTAATAACATACACTATTGGGGTTTCTGTACCTGCTACGATATTTAATATTGTTTCCTTGCCTCTCTGTGCAGCTCTGCTTAATGAAGAGCTGCCATACCAAGTGGAGGCAACCTCTGGCTATTTAATTCCCACTGCTTAAGCATGATCACAGGTATAACATCACAGCTCCTATTCTTCAGTGTCTCCTATAATCAAGGGGTCAGGGAGGCCTGTTTCCTCATTATCTCCTATCACTTTATAAAAAGCTATCAGGCTCAATTTGGGGGGAAATCTGCATAATTAAAAAGCATTTCTATTTTTAAATAGGGGAGAATCCTGCCTGTTCGTCTGCAGCCATGACATTTTCTATCTATCTTTTAAATACCATGCTCATCACTATAGTACAGATTTTGAGAACCAAGATAGTTCCATTGCTGGGGGGCATTCAAGACACGGAGAGTCCATGAAAAGGGTATGCATCCCTGAGGCACTGAACAGGGGCTCTTTCTGTCTTCTGACTGCAGGATTTGGGGTTAGTAGAGGGGAGAAGTAAAATCCAAGACTACACTGATCCGCCAGTCATTCACACAGTCCTGCAGAGTGCGGGAGGAGCGGGGCATAGCTATGGTAGCTTCAGCAGCTGCAGCAACCACAGAGAAGCCATTAGAGGGGAAATACTCCTTGCACTCAGCCCTTGTGGGATATTCCCAGTATGCAGCCCTGCTTCCCAATAATTGTTCCATAACAGATAACTCACAACTGTGTTTGAATAAACAAGCGACTTACAGCAGACAGCTCAGCTCCTCTTAAATATTAACCTGTAAGTTTCCTTCTTTTACATTTCCTGCATGTGCTGTAAGCCTGAAGGGGATAAATGGCAGGAGAAGACGAAGAGTTACACCAGCTCCACACCAACTTCTCATTGGAGAAAATCCTGACATTTCTTACCTGCAACAGATGACTGCCTTACAGGACAGTGCTAGGTCCAGGAAGCACTGCCGGACTTCAAACGAGAGAGCATACTTCAGAGTCTGGCCATCAATAATGAGAGCTATATCATTTTCTTTCCCCAGTGAATCTCCCAGGTTTGTACAGTGATGGGTCAGGGTTGCTCTTGTTGCCTAAAGTACAAACACACACAAAAAAGAAAGAAATGTTTCTTTCCACTGTACTCCAACCATCTCTCTAAACTGGCGTTAGCATCCTTGACACATTCTCAGATTCAAAGGTGGGTTAGAATAAATGGGGCCTGGTGCTTCCATGGCTTTTGCCACTGCTTCCCCCTCAAAATATTATGGATTTTTTGAATTTCCTTCCCAGTGCCTACTCCAAAAACATATACATTTGGAAAATGCTTTGAGATCTACTGTTGAAAAGGGCTACATATTATTATTGTTTCACCATCCTCCCAAATGACTCAATCTTCAGCTCTCAACCTTTTCCTCAGACTCTTAAGGTAGGAATCGCAAAAGTGCTTACACTGGCCTCTCTTCCCATTCAAGTCAGAGTTTTACCATTGACTTCAATGGAAGCAGAGTTAGGCCCGTATTGAACATTTCTGAAAATGTTAGTTTCTGAGGACCAAATTTTCAAATATGTGCATGTAAATTGTGTGTATTCTTTTGTGTGTGCAAAAGTGCACGCATAGTTTTAAAAATGTAGCCCTCACTGACTCACTCCTGGTTCAGGCTCTCTCAGGCCATCAGACTTGGATAACAAAGACTTTAATTAACCCCTACTCAAGCATGGTACTTTGATAAAGAAGATGCTCAGTAACTGACCGCTTATTAATCTACTACCAGATTCACAGTTCTCTTCTGTTTTTTTTGAAAATCGATGGGGTTATGAATTGAAATTCAGAGCATGTTGTTTCACCAGATTTACTCTAACAAAACAGCTCTCCAAAAGTGTGTCTACATTATCTACTGGTTTGTTCAAGTTTTGGGGAGGGGCTTTTCTGACATATTTGTAAAGTAAAGGGACAAAAATTGCCCATGGATCCTGGAAATCTGTGGGGGAAGGACTCTTCAGAGGCTGAGGCAGTCCCCTTGAATGGTGCTTGCCTACATGCTTCTCCTTTAGAAGCAAAGCTGATTTACCCCCTGCTTCCTGGTAGAATGGCTCAGCATATATTTGGTCTATCCAGGTTCCCAGCTGAGAACACAGATGGTAAAGCTGAGTGCCTGACTATGCAGCATGGACTACATTGTTATTGCTATTTTTGAGGATAGGATGGGGCTTCCCTTGCAGCCTGTAGCCTAGAAGGAAGGACTCAGAGTTGCCAACTCTCATGATTTTGTCGTGAATCTCATGATAATTATTCTTTTCCTTAAAGCCCCAGCTCCTGGAGTCAAGTGAATATGTGAAGATTTCAGTCTTCATCGTTCAAGAAAAAGTAAGTTTCTAGCCTTTGTGTCTGTGGAGAAAGCTTCCAAATGTGATCCCAGTGCACCCTAAAGGCTCAAAAAGCATAAGGCAAATAAAAAGAAAACCAAATCTATTATCTGTACATAATCTCATGATTTTAAAGTCAATCTCGTTATTTTTGGTGAGCCTGACTCATGATTTTTGAACATTTGGGGTTGGCAGTACTGATGGTTTGCTGCCTCCATTGCCTCCAGGGGGATTTCTAGCACCAACTGCATCTCACATTTTCTGTAAGCAATGTCCATTCTGGTATGATCTCCAATACACAGTGTTGCAAAACAAAGTATCCTTGTTTGCTCATCCCAGAGCTATGAAACTTTAAAAACTGGTGCCAACTTAACTGTCAAATATGTGTCTCAGTGCTTAGATGTGCTTCCTTTCTTTGTATGCTGGTCTACAGTAAAAGGTACCATTTCTCTCTATCTAATATGAACAATACTGGAGCAGAATTACATCTGTCAAATGAAAATACTATATTTATGTCTCATTGTAATCCATTCATTGTTTTATGAACCCACATTTCTCCAGGGAGAGCTACAAATCCACAAGCAATTGCTGAGTGCTGCATTTTCAATTTGCATCTCTGATTTAACAGACAGATGTAAAAAAATAAATGTAGCCAAACTGCTCCCTACAGACTACACATCTGTTGGTACTGAAGAACACAAATTACTCCAGTTAAGTTCAGCATTAACATACAGTCAGGATTTCCCCTACACATTCACCTTATGGGATAATATGGCTTTGTGGTTGGGGTTAATCAAAACATATGGAGACCAGAACATCCACACCTTTTGGAAGATGGAGACATACCAGCAGACCAATTTTCTACAATAGGAGGTAAAATCAGTAAGACTCCATCTACGCTACAAATTCAACTGAGGGTTTGTCTACACTGCAATCAGATGTGTGACTGTAGCACATGTAGACATATGCAAGCTAGGTTTGGTCTAGCTACCTCAGATAACAATAGCAGAGAAGCCAAAGCAGCACGGGCATCAGCATTGGCTGGACACTTGAGTACATACCCAGGTTCCTGGGCTGGCTTGCATAAACTGTACTACTGCCTATGCAGTGTGCTGTCACAGCTTCACTGTTATTATTATTCAAGCTAGTTAGATCGAAGCAGCTCAGGTATGTCTACATGTGCTAGAATTACACCTCTGATTGTAGTGTGAACATACTCTTAGTTAGGGGCCCAGGTACACCATAGAACACCATTGAAATCAATGACTGCTTAAGTGTAAATGAGGGTAGAATTGTCTTCTATCCCTATTATATATGCCCCAATGTTTTCTCATGCATGTTGCCACCAAATAAATAAAAAAACAATGACAAAAGTATGAGGGGGTTTTATGTATTACGGATTCTTCACTTCCTGTCCTAAACTGTTGCTAAGCTTCTGTGCACTGTGAAAACAGTTGACAAGCTTCACCCTAGAGGCTGGTGTGTTTTAGAGATGAATGAAGTGATTCATGTGTATAATTTATACATCAGTTTGTTGTAGAATGCTGAGAGATCCTCTTGGATGAAAGGTGAAGAATAAATGTAAGACAGTCATCATTACATGCATACAGTATACACATACTGGCAACCACTATGATTTTCTGTGGGATTGCTGAGATTTTCAAGTTCCCAGCTAGACAAATAGATTGCAAATGTAAATTTCTTCAATATTCTGAAATATCATATAAATCATTTTCTATAGGGATTTCACTTTCCAACTGAAAGCCATTCTATATATATGTAAACACATTCATTCCCACACAATTTGCCAGACTGCTAACAATCCTGCAGAAGAGGAAAATGCCTGCACTGCACTTTAGAATAGTTTGATGCAAAATGGGGACGTCTTCTATTTCACGGATCTTGCCATAGAATCAAATATGCTTGTAATATAGGGTTTTTTTCTTTTATGGTTAGTGTAGGATTCACATATTTCACTCCTGAGATGCTTAACTGAACAGGACAAAAGTTATTTCCACAGCAATCTAAAACAGAAACAGCCATGCTACCATTACTAATGAAAATCTATTCTGGGGTTTTGTTTTTTAGTTTTGTTGCAACAAATGTTGCAACACTAATTTTCAGGACTTTGGCTTTGCCACAATTTACGGCTAAAGCCTGAACCATTTTTCAGGTATGTCTACATGTGCTAGAATTACACCTCTGATCGTCGGAGCCCTGGGTGCATAGGACCTCAGTAATGAGCGAGTGTTGAGAGAATATGGAATCGGTCAATGCTATACTCGGCTGATGCGACAACTCATGGTGTCGGACGCCATCACGTGGTCGAGGGACGTCTACCTAGAACACATCACCGGACATCGGCAATACCAGGAGGGATGAGCTGGAGTGCCAATGAGAAGCACAGTCAGGAAAGTAACTGAAATACTTCCCTGATGGATTGTATTTTCTAATTGGACAACCTACCCTAAATTCTCAATCACCGAGGGACAATCTTCACTCATTGATATATGTGCTTTCCACAACGAACTCTCTGTATAACTTTTCATGAGTGATGTACCCAAATACTTGGATGCTAATATCTAAACTGTATTGTTAAATTTATTCATCTAAATTTGGGTTACTGGTGATTATGCACTATATGTATCTTATGACTTTTAAAACAAACCTTGTATTTGTGGATAATCTAAGCACTATACTCAGATGTACAGACACTCTTTTCTTAACCTGTGTATTGTATAATTTTTTAACATTAGCTTTAATAAAATATTTACACTAAAAAGATTAAATGTAATAGCAATGGAAAAAGTGAGCATTTTGTTTATTTACCTGTGGATCTCTTTATAATTTACAATCTGTTATTTTGAGTTAAAAATGTTTACAAATTAATAGTTTCCATTACAGCACCTTTTGTTCAAAGGTTTCTAAGTACTTTTAAGAATCCATCTGTTACTTCAGAACAGAAAAACGTGCTGTTCATTCTATCTTAAATAAGGTTGGCCTTCTTTAGTCAGAAGAAAATACACCAAGGTTTCAAGTTCTGTACTTTCACCAACTGATTATTTTCATTCACAACACTGAGTGACCTTGATATGACCTTCCATGGAGACAGATAGCAAATACACTATACTTAGTAGCAAGAGAGATATGGATGCTACATACTGTTGCTTGCCGGATGAGTAATGAGAACTGCCTGAAAATTAAGGCAGTATTTTGAGTCATCTCAAGTTCACAAAGTGCCTGCTTAGTTAGCTCCTAAATGTCAGTGATTAGGTCAACAATTTATACAAATAAAAATGACCTGAAGCGTAAACATTTCCAGAAGTCTTGCCAAACTGTACCAGCCAATTTGCTGAGGTAATACTACCAAGGGACAGAGACATCTGTCTCAAATGATTTCTGAATCTTAACTTAAAGCAATCTGAACCATAATAAAAATTGCAGCGTAATTGCAGTATTAGCACATTTATATTTCTTTTTGTGTACACCTTTAATCGAGTCTGAAAAGTGATGGAGAACAGCATTTCACAGTTCAAGGGCCAAATACATCCCTGCTGTAATGCCACTGAAGTCAGTGGAGTTACACTAAGGGTGAATTTGGTCTTATGTCTTGAATGAACTTCTTGAAGGTTGTTAAAACGGACAGGTAAACACAGTCTGTGACTGCATGTAACTTACAGGCCCTAGCCTGGTATGTGTTATAAATTCTGTTTAATCATACCATGTA